AATCCCCACAGGTGTTAACATTGAGAGATCCCCGCGGGTGGTAATTCTGCATGCAGGGAGAAGCCGAGAGAGAATCCATGTAGAAAGAGATCCCCACAGGTGTTAACATTGAGAGATCCCCGCAGGTGGTAATTCTGCATGCAGGGAGAAGCCGAGAGAGAAACCATGTAGAAAGAGATCCCCCACAGGTGTTAACATTGAGAGATCCCCGCGGGTGGTAATTCTTCATGCAGGGAGAAGCCGAGAGAGAATCCATGTAGAAAGAGATCCCCCACAGGAGAAGCCAATAGAATCCCCATTCCCCACTGGTGTTAACATTGAGAGATCCCCGCAGGTGGTAATTCTGCATGCAGGGAGAAGCCGAGAGAGAAACCATGTAGAAAGAGATCCCCCACAGGAGAAGCCGATAGAATCCCCACAGGTGTTAACATTGAGAGATCCCCGCGGGTGGTAATGCTGCATGCAGGGAAAAGCCGAGAAAGAATCCATGTAGAAAGAGATCCCCACAGGTGTTAATGCTGCAGGGAGCAGTAGAGAGACTCCCTGCGGGCATTAATGATGTCATGATAATTAAGTGATAGATCCGTCACAGGAGAGGTCGAAGGTGACGGTTGCGGGGGATGAGAAACCATGCGAAACTGTGAAAGGACGACTAGATAACAAGAGACTAGACTAAACGACGTATTTTAACTTAGTGTTATTTAGTTGTTGTCTTTATGTAAAGAAAACATGAAAATGCACCCGATGCAGACCTGCCAACCTGTGATTCATGGAAATAGTAAGGCTTTTCTTTTCTTGCAGCAGGCGGCCATTTTGTTTGTATGTTATGCGCGCAATGAATGATGGGACTAACTCTAGATCACGCGAGAACAACGTAAATGCGTGATCCAATATGGCTGCGCCCACAATCGCCAGATATTTCTCGGCTCACAATGTAAAAAATACATTAATTTTCAAGTCGTAAAAAATCGTAAGTTTTTCAGTTTGATCGTACATTCGTAAAAACATCTTGGAATTAGTAAGGAATACGAAAAAATCGTAAGGGTTGGCAGGTCTGCCGATGACGTGTGTATAGGCAAGAAATTACCTGAGCCAAAGCATGTATACTGGTCCTGATGTCTTTACTGGCAATCTGCGACACGACTAGGTCCAGCGTCGACTGAGTGTCCGTAGACTGGTGCAAGACCTTCATTGCTGGTGATGGCGCCCTCCCCCTGCAAACACGGAAGCCATCTAATGTCACAGCAACCAGATGCTAACTCCCGGCAGCCAAATCAAATACGCCCAATAATATACTGCGGTATACAATAATATAAGTTGTATAGTTAGTATCTTAGTTATCTTAGTTACAATGGCAACACCACTGTTCACATCGCGTCATTTCTCGAGTCGCTTTAAAAATCGATCTCAGTCGTCTTGAAATGACATATGCTGACGCGCCCTTTGACACACACAGTCACTCAACCGCCACATATAGGCCCAGGGTATTAGCCAGAAATGAGTATTGTGGGAGTGCAGAAAAAATATTTGGGAGTGCAATTTTTTTGTATGTGTGGCTTTAGATCAATATTTTAGGCCGTGCTACACATTTTTGGCTGTGCAGTTTCAAAACTGACCGTGCAAATCACGGCTGCACGGCTCGCTGGCTAATACGTTGTATAGGACCAGTAATATATAGGTATATAATAATATAATAATACATAGTTATATACCAAGGTATATAATATTATAAGTTGTATAGAAACGCCTTACAACGGCATCACAACTGTTCGCATCATTTCTTGCCGTCTATTAGTCTTATAACGACAAATTATCGCGCGCCCTTTGACGCACTCGCACATCCGTGAGTCTCATGCACGCAGCACATGAAACACAGATTCCTACCTGGTTACCGGCAGGTGTATGGGTTCGTCTTCTAGGTCCGGGATGTCGATGAGCCGTGCCTTGCCGCTGCAGTCAGACTCGCTCATGCTCTCCTCCAGGTCCAGTATGAGCGAGCGCGGCCGAACCGGAGGTGCCTCCGCGGCCCTGCAAGCATGCAGCGTCAACATCAACGCCATCGTCAACATCAACGTCAATGTCAACATCAATGTCATCGTCAACATCAACGCCATCGTCAACATCAACGTCAATGTCAACGTAAACATCAACGCCATCGTCAACATCGACGTCAATGTCATTGTCAACATCAACGCCATCGTCAACATCAACGTCAATGTCATCGTCAACATCAATGTCATCGTCAACATCAACGTCAATGTCATCGTCAACATCAATGTCATCGTCAACATCAATGTCATTGTCAACGTCAACATCAACGTCAACATCAATGTCATCGTCAACATCAACATCAATGTTACTTCACGCGTGTAACAATGGAACAACCTATCATAATAATCTCCGTATATCCCTCGGAATCGAGCGTCGTCACTTTGGCGACGACCGCCAAGTGACACCACGGGAATTACGTCAAGTTGTTTCGGTGAACATTACGCGCATCAACTAACACCGAATAGCATTTTGTTATCGTCAGTTTTTATCCGTTTATCTCGAGACTGGGTCGGGGTAGAAACAAAAACCCCCCACCCAATTAGCAAACGGATTTAACTACATTCAAATGAGCAAAAGCTCACTAGTCTCAGAATATGTTAATAGCGCTGTAATTTGGTCCCCCAAACGTGTACACTGTGGTTTCTAACACGCTCCCGAGCGGAGTTCAAAACGACCCCACGGGACCCGGCGACAATGCAATGATCTCTCGGCAACATACTGCTGCATTGTTCAGATTGTTCATGATTGTTCAGCGACTCGGCAACAAATATCAAACATGTTTGATATTCCAGCGACGAGTTTCTGGCGTCAAAATCGCCATCGCCATGCAGCGCACTCTCGTGGCGATCTCTCGGCGATTCTGTCGCCGGCAACAAAATCGCCAGTACTAGCGATAAAAATCGCCACGTGTGCGCCGGGCTTAAAACATCTTGCCGCACCCATGCCGTAGCAGCACTTACTGCAATCTCTGGTCAGCAGCGGCGGCGTTCTTGCTCGCAGCCTTCGCCTGCTTGTCCTCGGGTTCGGCCTGCCGCGTCGCGCACGCTGCTCGGTTCTTCGCTGACCGCTTAATGCGCTCGTCCAGCAGGCTCTGGTCCTTGTCCGCGAGCTAGAGCATGAACATTAGCTAGAGCATGAACTAGAGCATAAACTAGAGCATGAGCACGAGCATGAACATTAGCATGAACATTAGCATGAGCTAGAGCATGAACATTAGCATGAGCTAGAGCATGAACATTAGCATGAGCTAGAGCATAAACATTAGCATGAACATTAGCATGAGCTAGAGCATAAACATTAGCATGAGCTAGAGCATAAACATTACGTAAGAGCATGAGCATTAAGCATGAGCATGAACATTACTAGAGGCCTGAGGCTAGAAGCAATGAACACTTGCCTAGAGATGAACATTAGCATGAGCTTAGAACATAAAGACATTAGCTAGAGCATGAGCATCGAAGCATTAGCATGCACATGAACATTAGCTAGAAGCCTGAGCTAGAGCATGAAGCATTGACTAGAGCATGAACAAGAGCCATCGAACTCAGAGCACTGAACATTAGCTCAGCAGCATGAAACATAGAGCATGAACAGAAACAGCCAAGTGTTAACAGTGGATGTGAGACCAAAACTACCCCCGGCCGCCTACAAACCTTATAAATCTCCAATACCGATTTCGCGCGAACAGCAAAAAATCAGCGACTGCTGACGAAACTCGACGCAGCTAACGATGACCTCACCTGTCCCGACGCTAGCGGTGCACGTTGTCGCCGACGATGAGCGCTAGGCGCTGCACGGCGTGTGTTGAGGCGCGGCGTTGCGCACGCCGTTGTCGCGATCGCGCGATCTGCTGAGCAATGAGCTTCAGCGCCGCACCGAACACTCGCCTGACAGACCGTTGATCCAAACACCTCGATGAGCCAATAGCCCAGCCTCGTCGAGACCCACTCTGTAAACAACAAGCGAGCAGTGAGAGGCGAGATCAGGCATGATATACAACAAGCACCTCGATGAAATAGCCCAGCTCGTCGAGACACTCTGTATAAGACCACGAGAGGCAGTGAGAACGCGAGACGCAGGCCGATGACACAGCGTTGATGCCACACCTGCGATGAGGTAGCCCAGCTCGTTGAGACACTCCTGTAAACAACGAGGAGGCAGTTGAGACGTGAGACGCCAGGCATGACGACATTGGTGAGACCGCAGGCATGATGACCATGGTGAGCACACAGGCATCACGCAACATGGTGAACAGAGAGATGCAACATGGCCAAGATGCACGAACCCAAGTGAGAGCGCAATACACCGAGGACACGAAAATATATGCAAGCACTTTATTCTCAACCTGCACTAACTCGCAGGTAACCTTTACTGCTCGCTGAGACGATTAAACACGTCACGTGTAGCTCATGCAACGTAGACTGCTGAAAGCTCAGGGGGCCCGTTGTCAGACAAAATTAGTCTTAACATTAGTCTACATTATCAATTTGTCCTAGACCGTCGACATCACTTGGTTCGTATGTTATGAAGGAAATCTGCTAGCGATTTTTCATTCTCGTAACTTGTGGCAGGCGTTTTATGTAACGGCTACAGAGAAAAAGTTAATGTTGAACTATAATAATGTTAAGACCAATTTTGTTTCTGACAACAGGCCCTGATGATTTGGCCTGGAGCAGCAGCATGTCAGACCCCACTTGTCTTGTGTTATATTGTATGTCATTGTATTTAATAATTGCTATTAATATATTATGTATGCTCGTGCTGTATTACCTGTTCGGCTAACGCGCGTTTTGACTTCAAGTCCGTCTATTATGTACGGTGACAGCAATCTTACTGCAGGGTAGACCTTGTAGACGGGCAGACGCAAAATGTTCTATCACTACCTTCCTCACCGATCTTTGCGGATCGCCGGCTGGTTGACAGCAAAAAGCGAATTTATGTATGCATAGCAAAGTGTCTGCATGTGAGGCCCGCCCTTTAGAACTGCAATATATGACCCTCATATCTGTAATAGCTTGCGGCTTGCATGCATAGAATTCAGATAGGGTGGGTCGGTAAGGAAGCACACAGTACTTCGCACCACGAGATACGAGTATGAAGCACACAATGATGATTATGCTCTACACGCAGAGGAAGAGCGCTTGTGTACTCAGCAGAGATACAGTATGCTACAATATAAATGCATGAAAGTACACATGCCTTCAGCAGCAAGACAGAGTATGTATCAGGGTTCATAGTAGTAAGACAGCATGTGAACTAAGGACTTATAAGACCCTTTCGGAGGGCCAAAATAAGACTTTATTTTACGCAATTTGATAGATCACGACTATTAAAGTACAACTAATAATATTTATATACACAATTGGCACTAGCAGATTTATTATCGCGTATTATATATAATTATACAACATTCTTACTTTAAGGAGAACTGTTGGCAAAAAATAAGGACTATTAAGTACTTTTCTAAAGATTTCACCAAAAATATAGGTACTAATAAGGGCCCTTATTTTATTTTGGCAAATAAGTACTTAAAGACTTTGGAAGACCCGGCTACGAACGGTCCAGTGTATGCAAGCACACAGTACCTTCATCACGAGGTAAGTATTGAGGAGCTGGCCTCGCGTCGGCAATTGACCACGCGAACAGTGCCGTGAACAGCTGCCGAGGTAAGTCCAAGCCGCGCAGCAAGAACGCTCGGGTTCGTGTCGAAGAAGCGCAGAGTCACGCACTTCAGACGAGGTGAGCTGCGCAACCGTCGGCATCCTCCGATGTCGTGATCGCCTGCGAAGAAGAAGCGCGAAGCCATGCTGTGAATCAACATCACTTTATGAAAATTGCGACACGCCCCCCCCCACTCACCGTTCGTTTTTTTCCATGAATAAGGCTCTGTGATAAATAAGTGTTGCAGCCCGCGAGAAAGAGTGCCGTAGAAATTCACTAAAGTGTTATTACGTGCGCGGAAGCGAAACCTAGAATCGATGATATTCTCTTGGCGTTTTACTCTTTCAAGCTACCTCATTTGTACCATTAACATCTATTTTACATTTTTTGTCCACATTTCCTGGCATTGCATGCGAGGGATCGTTGCAAGGAACGTGTCCATAGATAATTTCCCAAAACCCATTACGAACAGGGTACCGCATCGCGCAATTTTTTCCAAGATAAACCCCCCTTTTTTTTGGCATAATCCTAATAAACACACGCGCTATTATAACCAAGCGTTCTCTACAGTAACGCTATTCGACCCACGGCAACAAGCTCGTCTCGCGCATAAATTCCCCGACGACCGTAGATCGCCCGCGCTTACCTCGCAGAGCGCGTCGATCGGCCTGATTGTGGTGGGCTTGAAGTCGCGTGGGAACATCATGTGTGAGCAGCGGGCGGCTTGGACTGTTGTTCTGCATCTGTTCCTTCAGCTGAATGACGAACTGTCCTGCGCGCTGACGTGAAGTTCACTTCAGGCACCTGAAGACATCGAACACGAGCAAGGCGATAAAAAAACGGACGCCTTAATGTAACGTAAAGTACTTGGGCCAAAAAATATCAAGTGGGCCGCGGTACTGCAAAAAATAAAGGGCAGGCGGTGCATACTCTGCCAATGAAATACAAGCGGTATACGTACTTGCAATAAATACATAAGCACAGGGAGACAATTTCAGCCAAAGTTGCAATAGTCGAAATGTGGCTATACTACAAAATAAATTTTGCATTAGAATTGGGATAAATTTGCATAGCATTTTTTTTCAGACAATCACAGTGGCAAATTTCCCACCGGCAGTGCATGCTTGGCGTGTTATCGTGATCGGCCTGTGAAAAGGCACAGCTTTAGATTTAAGCGCTAGGACACACTACGGCGATTCTGGCACGGCGTGGTCCAGCAGCGTTTTAAAAGCGTGTGCGAGCTGTGGGCACCGCCCGCGCTCGCATTCGAGTGCAAAATAATATGCGGGCCGGCAAGAGTGAAAGCCTAAAGCTGACTCGCCCATGTTTGGCGAGTAAAAATAATTGTCTAGAAGCTTTATCAATGTTGGTTGCCTTACGTTATATATCCAAACAATTGATGAAAAGAGTTTTAGCGATTGTGAAGGGCGGCTATCCGACTCCTATCGAGCCAGACATCCCCTCACTTTATATTTCAAGGTCGGCCGAAGAAGCAGGCCCGCGAGAGCGCGCAGCGCCAGCACAGCCTGCTTGTTGTATACGTGCGCTGTGGCCGGCATATTGAGTGATTAGGCGGGGGGGGGGGGAGTGGCACCGGATTGTTTAAAAGTCACGTTGGCCTTGGTGTTAAGCAATCAATAAAATCGGCGTAACGTGGCATTTCATTGACGGGCAAGAGCAGCCCCGAGAAAATAAAAGTAAATTGTAAACATGTATGTTTCCGTTTACTCTCTGCATGGCTGCATCGCACAACTGCGATTCATAAAAAAATAGGCGTAGCAAATGGGCTGAAAATCATCGCGAATTGCGATGGCATACCGTAAAATTATTCCTGAAGGCAGTGCATATTACTTGCCAATAAATACAAAACGGTGGTAGCATACTTGCAGATGAAATGACAAAACGGTGGTAGCATGAGCATACTTTGCCAATAAATACAAAGGCAATCGGCATGTAATGCCAATGAATATATAAAGCTGTGACTTGTACTTTGCCAAATAATCAAGCCAGGCGACTTCTAACTTGCCATACATACAAAGGCGCATAACACGTTCTATAGCAAAACGCAGCAGACGTGTTCCCAGCTACGCTAACCAGCGTGACAACCGATTACCTCAGTTCCTCATCTCTAGACGCTGCCGTTTCGAGTCGTCTGTTAACGAGCGTAGGGCAAACTCTTCGTCAGGTCTTGCTTCTTACTCCTTTGGCCGAGGGTGGCGCCTGAAGGCAACAAAAAACACTGTCACCAGATGGCAACTTTGTGTAGAGACATAAGAAACAGATAGCAGAGAAATTAGTAACCAATTGAAACTCAATGGCTTAGTATTATAAATGTTATAAACCTCATGTGACTTTTATTTCATATGTAGGTAACACAGATTTTTTCATATGCTACTGTATTCGAGTGTATACACACAATTTGTTTGTTTCATAATAAGGAAAAGTACACCATAGTAGAAATTTACGGCAGATGATGTTATAGAATGAGCATAAAACAAGAATTACCAGTCAAAAGTTCACCCTACCCGCGTGCACACATCACAGTCCAATCTATGACTG